GGGTAATACCCGAGGGATGTGGTTGTTCTTGGGATGGAAACAAGCTGGACTGGTGCTCTGCATGCTCCTCTTTGTCATGCAACGGCACGTTGATACAAGCAGCCGAGGCTTTTGGATGGCAAGGGAGGAGGCTTTTTTACCCCCTCAGGTATGTATCACCAGATGAAACCACCGAGGCCATAGCCTCCTCTGTGGGCCTCGGTCCCTTTTTGTATCCTGCACTCTCATGTGATCCCTCTGCACCCCCATTAGATCCGGTCACAGAGACCGGAACAGGCAAGGAGGCAAAGAACAAAGGGAAAGCCGAGAACCTCCGATGTGATCTTTTGAATGAAACAATTGACAAAGCTTGGCCCTTTCAAGCAGATGGGGTACGAGCTGGAAAACCCCTAGTGGGACTGCAGGAGCACCCTGTGGTTTTTAGGGTATTCAGGGAACCCTTAACAATGGCCATAAGGCCTGATGAAAGATCCGACGATGCGAAAGAAACTGCACTGAAAGGCGGTTGGGAAGGACCATGGGAGCTCACTACATGGGCCTCACTCATAAAAGAGGTAATTGAGAACCAGTTCATCCCGTTAACAGACCTCCCTGCGATCCCTCGGGAAGAGAGGGTCAGAGCATCTGACCTATATTACTACACCACAAACATCGATGCTTGGTGTCCGAGAGGAACTCGGCCTAAACAGAAAGCCGCAATTTACACTGTCACCTCTGAGGCGTGGAATCGTCAAGGAATCTTGCAGATCCCTGGGACTGTGGCTCAGAGGACCCGGACTCCCATCCGCCCTGACTCAACTTGTAAAGTAAGAATTGCAGTCCAAATGGTGATTGTCCCTTTAAAAGGAGTTTACTCCATTGGAGCTACCATCACTGTCTTGGCACGTCGTCGTGAAGAGTTCAGCGCACACGAGGCCCATGCCCCCCTCCCTAAAGTACCTGAACCACCAACTCGTCGCCACTCTATCTCGCTCCTGAAAACCCTGACCCGCATGCCTTCGCGGTTGCGCAGGACAGAGAGTGAGAGGAAGTAAGTAAATCTTCGGTTTGACATGTAGTTCTCCTCCATGAATCAAATTTTGACATCATTTCATCTCCATGGGATCGGTTGTGGGATGATTGACCCCAATAATCCCAGGAGAGGGGGTGGAGCCTAAATGACAGGACAAGATTAAGTGTAACCACACCCCCAATAGAAGAAGCCAACACCCCCCTTCGCTAGGATAAAAAGCCTGTCAGTGGRCCACACTAAGCAGAAGGAAGATGGAGGGGACCAACTACATGTCACAAACCCAAGAAGACCCAGAGGACGATGATGGAGGAACCAACCCCTACGAAAATCCCCTCCCCAARAACAGCTGTAGCTGCAGCTGTAAGAAGAAGCCATGTGTTGAGATTGGCTTAAGGCTTTTAGCTTTATTTCTTGCTGTCGCTTTGATTTTGTCAATTTTGTATCAAGTGGGATACCGGCCATGGGAAGTCACTCATGCCAGAGTGYTTCATGCCAACACAAAATATGGAAATTTGACATGCTGGAATGTCAACGCTCTCAACTTGTTCCTACCCTGGGGGGCTAAYCAAACCAACAAAACTGATTTTTGGAACAGAGTGAAAAGAATGGGTTATGAAGCATGGAAAGAMAACCTAGATGATTGGGATGCCTGGACGAACGAATTGGCACAACAGAACTTCACTGAAGACCACAATTGGACAGTCTCAAACATACTAGCCACAAAAGATGGATTGGTAGTATGGGTTAAAATGCTAGAAGAACATGAAACCAAGACAACAAAGTGTAACTGGATACAGCCAGAAGGAGAACCACCCGAATGGCACTGTGACTGGGGATGCAGGCCTCTGTTAGGCCTGGCACACCAAGGATACTGGCAATATGAAGCTATATTTCCAGCACCCCACAAACATGTATATTGCTCGGCCATATTTCCAAGATGGGAGTTTTGGGGACACTATGATCTCAAATGTGACAAAATTCCGGTGATGAACAGAACCAGAACTAAACCAGCAAGGAAACACCCAACGTCCTACAAAAAGAAGGCCAAAGTAGCAACTATCCAGCACAGTATTGTTGTAACATATAATGGTTCAATCCAAGGTGCTGCTCCGACTGTGCATCATGGTAAAAAGCAAACTGAACAACATGCTTCGGAAGAATGTTTGACCGACATCAGACGCCTCGATCCCTGCATATGGAACACATGGGTGAGGTGTGGAGG